ATACAGCACCCTCTGTCTCTCTCATCCACCATCCTGAGTATGAATTCCCTTTTCCTTGCTAATCAAGAAGTTAACTGTTCTCAGTCTATTCTGATTCCTCTTGCAGGTCTCATGTAGTCTGTTGTGCAAAGAGACAAACAAGTGGGGACTGGGGCATGAAGAGGGCCATGCTGTCAGGAGAGACACGTTTTTCTTCCTGAACTGACTAGTGTTTCCCCATAAACAATAATGCAGACCCATGTTTTATGTTGTTTAGCTGAAGATCTGTCTGTACATTAGGACAGTGCTATTGGAGGTTTAATACTGGAAGTACCCAGTATTTGCAGTGGGATAACTGCAAGGTTGACTGAGGAATAGACAGATTCCTGGAGGAAGCATGCCAGAGAACCAGCTGGGGAACAGAGCCTGCTGTGCTTGCCATGACAATAAAACACATCTCTAGGCACAGCTTTCAGATGTGACACAGTCTGGGAATCTGCTCATGGGCGCAGCACTTCCAGTTTTTTTCAGCGACTCCTGGTTGAGACCTGGTAACTGTGTACATGTCTAACGCGGGTGAAGCCAGACTGGGCGCTTCAGGACACTTCCAGCCACTCTTCCCAGCAGTGTGTTGCAATCCCCAGACAAGACTGGCATGCACTCAGCGTGTCAGTGCCAGCACAAAGGGAGTGGGGATGATGTGGCCATCTGCATCCAGAGCAGGATGATGTGGCTGCCTGTACAGAGGGCAGGACTGGAGCAGGCAGGGTTTACCTTGGTTTGCACACAGAACCACACCCAAAGGATTGAGGTGTTTTCACTCTTACATCCTCCTAAAGCAAAATGTAACAGTTCAGCTTTTAACTGCTTAGGGCTAAAAGCAAGCTGTGTCACTTTGTGCTGGAGGGCAGCAGAGCCTAATAGGGATATTTAGGATCTGTTGAGAGGATGCTGAGAAATATGCTGCTTCTTGGCTGTTAGTTAATGCTGTACGGTCAGGCTGTAATCCCTGATAAAACAGCATGGGAAATTAATCAGCATATGGATTAGCAGGTGTGCTGTGAATGAAAGTGAGAGGTTACTTTGTTGATTCTGAAGGTGCAGTTAATAAACATTAAAGTTTAATTTTCAGACTGAAAAATGGATGGGAGCTATTTGGATAGTAACAACTATCTCTAGTTCTTCTGTGCTATTCTCTGACTTGGCAAGAAAAGAGGCTGTTACTAAATCAATATGAGCTATTCTGGAGAGAAGGAAGTATTTATTTTGTCTGGCACTCCATATCCCTTTTGCATAATAATGAGTGATTAATTATTTTTCTATCCCTTATGTGTTCCTTGGTTTGCCTGTGGCCAGATCTGGTTACTTATTTAAGCTACTGTGATGAGCAACAGCAAGAAGTTTCCAATCCTCCTAAATATATTCCAGTTAATAATAATGTTAGTTAAATATATTTTATTACTGTTCTTTGTTACCTAACTTCAGAACTCTCTGAAAGAAACAAATATGGTTTTATGTTTATCAATAGGCCAAGTTCTGGTAGAAATTTCAAGAACACACAAGAAACTCAATGACAGCCTAGAGGAGAGTGTAAGTTTAACCATTTCTTTTTCTATTTTCCTTCTGAAATTATATATTACTTTCTTGCCAATTTGTAATAACTCTTCGTTCATTTCCTTTTAAAGTTCAAAAAATTTCATAAAGAAATAATATCTGAACTGGAGAAGAAAACAGACCTGGATGTGAAATACATGAATGTAAGTACATTTAGTTCTAAAACTTGTATTTTATCCATTTGTGGCTGGTCAAAGAATTTTTCAGAAATACTTCCCTAACAGTTAGTTAATCGGTGTGTTAGAACTGAGCTTTAGATGCAGAAACATTGCAAAAATTGACATGCTTATTTTGTGTTAAAAAGGGAACCAGTGCAGGGCTTGAACTAAAACAATTTTAGACTAAAGTTGAGAGATGCAGTTGATCATCTGATGTATGATAGCAGTGACTTACCCAGTTCCGGGGCTGAGTGCACTGAGATGTTTTGAATGCTTGATTGCAGGCAACTTTAAAGAGGTACCAAACTGAACACAGAAGCAAATTAGATTCTTTAGAGAAGTCTCAGGCTGAGCTGAAAAAGATCAGGAGGAAAAGCCAAGGAGCACGAAATGTACTGAAATATGAGCACAAAGAAATGGAGGTGAGTGTGTGTTGTCCCTGACCTGTTTCTTTCTTTGTATCAGAACTGGTCAACAGAAAATGTCAAGCTATTACTGGTCACATCTGAGTCTGCTTTTAAAACTTGACTTCCGAAGCTTACCACAATTTTTGTACATGCCATGTCATTAGTTAAGACACGTAACTCCTCTGTAAGTTGTTCAGCAACAGTTTGACACTACAGTTTCAAAGAACATGCTTTTTTGGTTCCTCAGAGTTGGTTTATGTTAAAGGCACTCCTAGAGTATGCATTCCAGTTGAAATTATGCTCTGGACTGCTCTGCTGTACATGTTCAGAGACTGCTTCAGTTTCTAGGTTTCATCCCTTGACCACTATTTGATTTTTTTTATTATTATTTTTAAAGCACCTCTGTAACTACACCTTTATGCAGAAGTTTACACAGGGACTTAGCTACTCGATGCAAATTCAGTAGTCATTTGTTATAAATTAATTTCCCAAAGCAGGCAAACTCCAACTTCTGTTACCACTATTACCTGTCCCACTGATTTTAAAGCGGCATTGCCATCTTGAGGCGAAGTGAGAAATGGCAAGGCAATGAAGAGAAACTATTTTAAATTAGGAAGTCATATCCTGGTTGTCACATCTCTCTCAAAAAATACTTGCCATTGATATATTTTTTGCACAGTACTTTTACTTCGTGATAGCTTATATATTTTTTCTCCATATTTTTCTATTTTAATTTTCAACATGAATAGTACCAGCTCCTATTTCTTACTACCTTTTAACCTGCATTTGTAACATCCAGGTTTTTTAAGATATTAGACTTAGAATTCAAGGATTAGCATTTAATCATAGTTTAGCTATGAATGCTCATAACCTCAGAAAAATAGAGCTTAAGTCTTTTTTGTGACTCATTTTCCCCCTCCCTAAAACACCAGTGACACAGTAGAGATTCATCATAGCTTTGAGAGTAAATGTAACTGCCATGGAGCAGATAAAGGCAATTAGTCTGATTAGAACACCTGTGGCCTTAAAATTGCTTAGCACAGTTGCTGCTTTGATGTCATATTCTTATTTACCGCAGCATTTTATTTAGGGGCTAAAAGAGCGTTTCTTGTTTTGCTTCACTCTCCCCACCCCATAACTAGATGATCTGTGCCCGATGAAATGTGGAAAGTTAAGTGTGTGCAGAAGAGAAAGACTTGGCAGTAGAGCCACCATATCCCACCCTTCCAAAAGCTTTTTCTAAGGCTCTGGGACTTTGCTTCTGGAACTGGATCTAGTATCAAATAAAACTAGAGTGTATGTGATTATTTTTTTCTTTCTTTCTTTCCTTAGTATTTGGAAACAGTGAGCTCTCGACAGAGTGACATTCAGAGGTTTATTGCAGAAGGCTGCAGAGAAGCTCTCCTTGAAGAAAAAAGAAGATTCTGTTTTCTGGTTGACAAGCACTGCAGCTTTACCCAGCACATGCACTTCTATCACATTCAGGTCAGTGGCATGAGTGAGGCAGAAATGAAACTCCTAAAATCTAATCATCTGAGAGACTGTGACTATCTGCTGCATTATGTAGATCTGACTGCCATAAATAGCTAAGGAACACTGCAGTGCTAGACAAATGTTGTGCTATATTCTCTTAAATGTGCTGTAGCAACAATGAAGGGTTCCATGAGTTTTAAAAAAATTATGTATTAACAAAAAAATATATGGACTGATCAGGTATTTCCAGTATCTGACCCTGAAAAAGGACAGTCTCCTTCCACAACATTGTTTCATACAGATACTACTTACAAAAATCTTTCCGAAGACTTTCATTTTGCTGGAGTTATCATTTTGGTATAATGAGAACTAACATATAGGTCTATCCAATTTATGAAAAAGCCTATCTTTGACAAGTACCTTTTTAAACTTGGATGCAGTGTGCGGACTTCCTGAAATCCAAGCTGCCTGGGTGGCAGGAGATCTGCAGTGATGCTACCAAAGTGCCTGAAAAAGTCAGAATGATGATAGATGAAATAAGGACACCTGGTTCCACCCCAGTATCAGGAACTCCACTGCCTTCACCAATGATAGAGAGAAATACCCTGGTAAGTTGTTCTCTCATAGGTAAAGGTTCTTTCTTTTAAATGGGAGTAAAGTGGCTTCACTACTTACTTTTGTACCTAAGCATCTGGGATTGAGTCTATAGGAATAACTGGGGTTGGGTATGAAGCAAAATCATTCTGCTGAAGCTCTGCTACTGGAAGAACACAAGGTAGAGTAGGCAGGAGCACAGCTCCAAACAAATTGTTTTCAGTTGAGTGCCTAGGACTTCTACTGCAGAGTCCAGCCTCAGAACTACTTTTGTCCTAACCATTCACTTCCTACATTCTTATCTGTAAGTAACAGTAATTACATACTCAGTAGTTCAATATAAACTTAAACAAAATGTTATTTACTATTTTCTTCCCTCCCTGATTCTTATGAATTTATTAGAGTACAGGCTACATTCTGAATTCTACCTGTTTGTATGTTGTTAGTTGTTGAATTTCTAAGTGAGGTTAGTAAACTTCTAAAATAAATAATCTGAAAAATCTGGATATTATCTTGATGTAACTGTGCTATTTGTAGAAAAAAAGTCTTATCATAGCATTCCCACTAACAAATGTTTATCAAGGAACAGAAGTCTCTTACAAACTATTCTGTCAGCAATTTCATCAGAATGTGGGGATTTTCTGAAGGTCCAAATATGAATCGTTTGGGAATATTTAAGCATTGCTTTCTAGAACTTAATGTTGCAAAGAAGTTTTCACCATCTCTTCAGTATTGTGACCCTGTTGGTTTTGTAACTCTAGATTGGACATGATTTTTATCCTCACAATGAGAATGCAGCGAAGGTGCCCCCTGCTCCGACAGGCAGGGCCTACACTAGCCCTCTAGTGGATATGTTCAACAACCCTGCAACAGCTCCCAAGGCATCTTCTGAAAAGCTAAATAATTCAGCAGGTGAGTGTTCCTCTGCAAACTGTCTAAGCATGAATGACATACTGTAGTGTTCAGTGTTATCTCAGGACTACTGTGATCATGCGAATTCCAGGACGTACAGAAGAGCAGAAAACGGTCTTTAGATATATGAATTACCTAACAGGAGAAATGTACGTTATGAGAAGAATTGTTTGCAGTAAATGCAGGTCGAGATAGGTAGATTCTGGTTTTAATCCCTTTGTGTGCCCCTGATGAATCCAGCTTAACTGCTCTTAGGACTTCAGTCTTACCAGAACATGTTCTATGATTTTGCACAAGGTGCATCCATTATTTTACACAAAGAAACATCACAGTCTGGCTTTGGTTTCCTTGAAGAGCATGTAGCAGTTAGGGAGGAACACACATGGGACAAAATGAGCACAGTCATGTGTTTCTTTCCTGAAACATAAAATCCTATTCAGATTTGGTTTCTAAGTTTATAATATATTGGGGGTTAACTTGCTCTGCTATTGGGCAGGAAAGGAAAGGACTAAGCCTAGATCACAAAAGATATGTAGACCTCTGCAGTGGGTTAACAGCAATTCTAGCATTTCCTCCTTAAAAGTGTGTTTACAATATATTGTGCTGATCAAATAACATACAATTTGAGATCTCCTTTATGCTGTCTTCCGGTAAACATCTGGTTTGTGCAGAGTACTGAGTATCTGCAGTTGCATGGATTCAGTTGGAGCTGACTGCTCAGCACGTTTGGGAATGAAATCTTGGACTTCACACACAGTGACATTTCTTTAGAATGGAAATTTTCAAAGGTCTTTTCCAGCTGGGAAAGTTTAGTAATATTTCTCATGCCAAAAAAGGGAAGTAGCAAGTTCAAACTTAACTGTTCATGTCTGTTGGTTCAACTTTATTGTGATGGGGGTGTGTGTATATAAATGCACGTGCTATTAAGAACTTCATGCTGAAAACAAACATTGGCAGGTAACTGAGAGGTGTCTGAGGGGAAAGTACAAGGTCTCAGAACTCGATTTGCACTCATGTATTCCATTATCTGCTTCTTTTTTTCCTGTCAGACTATTAATTTATTTGTTAGTGTGTGGCTAATTTTGGGGTTTTTTGCTTTGTTCTGTTTTTTGACAGAGAGTTCAGATGATGCCAGTTTATCACGTTCAACTTCTGTTGCCACAGGACTAAATATAATGAAAAGGCAAAAAGTAAAGACAATCTTCCCACATACTGCTGGAAGCAACAAGACGTTGCTTAGCTTTGCACAGGGGGATATCATCACCCTTCTTGTAGCTGAGGAAAAGGATGGCTGGCTTTACGGGGAACACGAGACAACCAAAGTGTAAGATAATCAATCTATTACCCAGGTTGAAGGAAACGTGTCTCATCAGGTTTTGTTAGGAGATGTTAATAAATGGTTTTCCACTTCTTTTGCTGGCTGTCATTGACTGGTGACTTGGGGTCTTTCCGTAAGGTGAATCACTGCACTTAGTTCAGGTATCACCAGAAATAGTGTCTTTAAAAGTTAAATCTCAACTCATTGGGTCTGCTGTTTTGTCCACTGCTGTCTCTTGAAATACCTTTCCAATTTTATATAATATGAATCTGAGAAACTTTCCCATTACAGAAAAGGATGGTTTCCATCATCGTATACGAGACCACTGGAAGAACCAGCAGAAGAAAAAGCATTTGCCCCAGTGCCAAGGTAATGTTCTGTGTGGGACTTGCAGAAATGCCCAAATGTTATGTTTTTACTCATGTTCTTTGTTGTTCAGTAACATATTGTTGTGGTTTAAGCCCAGCCGGTAACTCGGAACCATGCAGCCGCTCGCTCACTCCTCCCCCCTTCTTCCTCCCCCCGCTCCTGGGGAAAATTGGAGGAATGTAACTCCCACGGGTTGAGATAACAGCACTCCAGTAACTAAGGTATAATACAAACCACTACTGCTACCAATAATAATGATAAGAGGAATAACAAGGGGAGAGGACACAACCGCTCACCACCCGCCGACCGATACCCAGCCCGACCCGAGCAGCGATCTGGGCCTTCTGGGTAACTCCCCCCAGTTTCTATACTGGGCATGACGTGCTGTGGTATGGAATCCCCCTTTGGCCAGTTTGGGTCAGGTGTCCTGTCTCTGCTTCCTCACGGCTTCCCCTCCTCCCTGGCAGAGCATGAGACTGAGAAAGTCCTTGGTCAGAGTAAACATTACTGAGCAACAACTAAAACCATCGGTGTTATCAGCGTTGTTCCCAGACTGAAAGTCAAAAACACAGCTCTGCACCAGCTACTAAGAAGGAGAAAAAATGACTGCTGTAGCTGAACCCAGGACACATATATATAGTATATACTTCCTAGCAGTCTGTAGTATGATGATGCCTTGATTACATTACCATGTTCTAATGGTTACACAAAGACCCAAGAACTACCTTCACCTCAACTTTGGAGTCCTGCT